GGGCAAGCTTACTCAATTGTCGAACCTATAATTTGTACCAATGACTCATGATCATAGCGTGAAGAGTTTTAATCCGTAACTTGGGAGTTGGGACATTATGTTCGAGGAGCAACACAAATGTTATACCTATTTTTAATAATATTTCAGTTCACCCAACAAAAACACTCCAATGGTCTCTATTGAGTGCAAAAGTGTTATTCCACTAGTGAGTCATTTGATCAAAATTTGATTTGAGTTCAGTCCAAGGTCAAACTTCAAAATTGTTGGCTTATGACTTGTTGAGTTGCTCGCTCGCTATATAGAAACAAATAGCGTGAGGTTGTAAGGAAATTTAGTTTGAAATATATTTTAAAATTCTAGTCACGACAATAACATGAAAAATTCAAGGCATGTGTAAATCACATCTTTCTTAAAAATTAATTTGTTCATCGCTAGAAGTATTGAAGGGTTGATTCTCCAATATACAATAGGTTACCAATGAAAATATTTGAGCATTCAAATATAATCATTATTGACGAACTTCAACAAAGAAATAAGAAAAATTTATAATTTATGCCCCTCACAAATATGCCTGATGGGGATTATTGCCTTCGAGCTATTCATGGGCTTTGGTCAGTCTCGACCCCCGACCCGAGTAGAATCTGGCCCGACCACCTTTGGGCTAAAGCAGGCAACCTCCCGACCTTGTACGCAGTCAGTGTTGCAAAAATTGCGCCTAGGCGCTAGGCAGTCGGCCTCCTAGGCACCCGCCTAGGCGCTCTAGGCGCCTGCCTAGGCGCTTAGCAATTTTTTCAACATTGACCGCAGCAAGCGCTAAGTCGGGATAGGCAGGTTAAAGACGGTTATTAGCGATTCCGCCTCGACCCCGGAGGTCGGGACTTCTTACCGACCTAGTTCTCATGATTGGACGTGGGGGATCGCGCCTAGAGGAACCAGGAATCTAGCTCCACATGGTTAGGCCCGCTACGCCCCTAAACTGCATCGCTGCATGAACTTCACGTGCAAGCCATGCCGAAAGCTCGGCACCTGTTCCCCGTTTCCACATATAAATACCACATTAAATGCAGGGGAGGGGGACTTTTGGGCATTTTCTACTAATTGATCTTTAGCCTGGGGACCTCTGACCCACTGTCACGTAACTCGAGACTAAAGACTTAAACCAACAAGCAGACTAGACATACGATCCGAGCCCACTACCGACCTAATAAGACCGTATACAGTAGAGTAGACCATTCATATATTATATATCAATATCAATCATTAATGTTACCCTGAATTATTAGTGGTGTAAATATTATCCCTCAATTTTCAAAACGTGACATATATTGCCCCTGAATTATTAGTAGTGTCATACACATTTTGAGAGGGGGGTGTGGGGGCTAGGGGCTAGGGGAAACACCCAATCTTATATATGGAGCTCGAATCTCAAATAAGAACAAGAAGCAAGAGTAGTTAGTATAAAATAAAAAAGATGAGAGACAGTTGTTGGACCACTGAAATGCGTCAATTCATGGACATGCATGCATATATAAGTCCAAGAAAAGCTTTGTTGGTGTTTGCAAACCCCATCTGATCTCCATATATATATATATCATCATCTTCAATTCTCTTTCTTTTTCTTTATAGAATAATAGAGCTTAGATCGAGAAGGGTGGGAAGGCTGATATTAAGGTTTGAATATGTGTAAGCTGCAGTCCTACACGTGATGATGATAATGATGCATGAAGAAATATGGTTTTTTTTTTTTTTTTTTTTTTTTTTTTTTTTTGTAATAAAAAGGTAATAATGTTTTATAGTTTCGTCTAATTAAGAATTTTTGAGTCCTAACCTTATGTGCTAAACTTTGGGTCATCCGGTGCACCAATGCTCTTATGAGATCAGAATTGATAAGTAGGGGTTAACTGAGAATCAACTAAAATAATTAGTCTCATTTAACGAGTAGCAAATACCAAGAAAATGCAATATTATTATTTAAACAAATAAAAAAAAAACAAGTTGCTAATTTGGATTCCCAATTTCCTTAGTAGGGTACGTAAATTAATTTTTTTGTTTGTTTTACTATTTTAGTAACATTTATGCCCCTGATTTGATTATCCATGATATGAATTCTCAATAATTTTTCATTTCACAAAAGAAAATGATACAAGGATTCTTAAAGTGTAAAATTCTCGTCACATGTCAGGATTTTATTGATAGAAATAGAAATAGAGTAATAAAAATCGTGATCTATTATTTTCTTTGGAATAAATCAAAATATGCGACAAAATAAAGTACATAACAAGAGTGTTAAGATATCATTTGATGTTCAATACATGCAATAGACTTAGTGTTTAGAGGAACCATTTTTTCATGTTATTTTTGCTACAATGATAATACTCCACAATAATAATTAATATAATAACAATAATATTAATGAGCAAACTATTTATGAATATATCTAATGATAATAAAGATATTTAAGAACATATCTACCACCTAAGCAAATGCTCAAATGGAAATATTATAAATATAATAAATGAATATACTCTTGATGAATTTGGGTAAGAAATTAAAGTCATTGTTGAATATATTCATATAAAATTGTGAATTTATCATAGTTGGGAATAATAAATGGCTCTAAAGTATTAAAAAAATAGAGTAACATTTTGATAAATATTTCAAATGTATCAATAAAAACTACAAAATGTATATAATGATATGTGAAGTGCAACTTCTTGAGCGCATTTGTAATTTTACGCAATGCACTTTAAATATTAAAATATTTATCAAAATGACATATTATTTTTCTCCTTTTACCCTTTATTTTAGAGTCATCAATCTTCTCACATTGAAAAACTAGACGATCATTTTCACAATATTCAATCCCTGTACATACATACATACACATTCCTACCCTAGAGCAACTGGCCTACAGGCTCGCAAATACTTGTACATTAGTGCTCATAGTAAAATCAAATATGTATATCATTTTTTAAGTCCTTAGTGATAATATTCGAACCCTTCACCATGTTGTTATTGTAAAAGTACAAAATAATATCACTCAACTTATTTTAGATTGGTTAATTAATTGAATTGTGTCTCGATATATATATATATATATATATATATATATATATATATATATATATATATATATATATATATATACATACATACACACACACATCATATAGTGGTTGTTGAGTAGTGCATTTAGTTGGAATTTTACTTTTTGCAATAATGGAGGGATTAGGTTTATAATGTAACAAATTAAATAATTCAATAATCCATAAATGTAATTGCTTTAAAATCATTTCTGACAGAAAACAGAAAAGAATCATTATTACCCCATCACTACTCGCACTCCATAACTTCGCTCAGTTTTGTTCATTGACTAATGACTAACCATTCACACATCAACTTCTGACTTTCACTATCAACAATTCACAACCATTAGCCAAAAACATCCAATATTATGTGCTTAAGGGTAAAAGGGCGCCAGTGTTACCTTCTCCGCTTAAATTTACTTCTTATTAATAATGTGACAGAATTTGATTAGTTTTTTTGTTATTTATATTTAATTATGAAATAAGTTTGTTTAATTAAAAAAGGAACATCAAACAAATGTAAATAACTAAATATTAAGAGATATGCCAAGCACCTTGTGCTCAGATGGCACCCGAGTTGGACTCCCATATGGGAGATCGAGGTTGTGAGTTTGAACCTCATTGGAGGCGTTATTGGCTCTTTGTGCTTTAGTCGGTTGAGAAAGTAATTATGAACAGATGGTTAAAGGCTTAAAGCCTGCGAACGCAGCATCGGAGAAATCAAAGACAATGATCTTACCACACATAGGGGATGGTTCACGTGCGAAATAACTCTCAGATGAAAAATGAGATGAGATCTGAGCCGTTGATATAATCTAGATCAATTGCCCATAATGAAGGATTTTTTTTAAACACGCTTCTTGCAATTATCTTCATTTAGTTTTCAAAGTTATGCACCTAAAGAAGGAACAATATGCACCCAAATAAAGAATAATATGCACCTAAAGAAGGAACTATATGCACCCAACGAAATAAAATAATACAACCAAAGAAGAAAATTAAATATTAATTAGAAGATAAATCATGCACTCGAAGAAGAACTAATATACACCCAAATAACGAACAATATACACTGAAACAAAGAAACTAATGCACTCAAAGAAAAAAGTAATTATTCACTAGAAGATATATAAACCATGCATTTGAAGAAGGAACAATATGCACCCAAAGAAGTAACAATATACACTCAAATAAAGAATAATATACACCTAACAAATGAAAATAATGCACTCAAAGGAAAAAGTAAATATTTACTATAAGGTACTAAATAAATAAATATTTACTATAAGGTAGTAAATAAATATTTATTATAACTTCTAAATATTTATTTAGAAAGGGTATAAAAATGTTAAGAGCAGTATCTATTATAACTTCTAAATTTACGCCTACATTTTCTATCCCTAAATCTTGTAGAATATCATGACCAAGATTTTTCCTTATTTTCTCCCCAATAATTATTATTATTTACATTTTTTTATATAAATATATTAAATAATATAAATAATGGAATTGGTATGTTTTTAGGTGACCAAAAAAATTCACAATCAAATGTATATACTTTATTCCTTTTTTTTTTTTCTTTTTAGTGATGACGAAAACCCAATCACTATTCGAATATGTATATTTGTAAATTTCATTTGTGACTTTAGCTGGCAAGAGACGACAATGAGATAAACCAGTTTAGATTGCTTATATAGTTGATCGATTTAAATCAAGAAGGTAAGTAGAACGTTCTGGCTGTTTTACTCCGTGCTATATTTTTCTTACGATTTTCTATTTTTTTTATTTTTATTTTTCAGTGGTGCGGTTAGGCACTGAGGAAAATAAAGAGTTTTATTATTGTATTTAGAGAGGAAAATAAATATTTTTTTGCTTAGAATTTAGAAATGAAAAAGAGTGAACAGGCCTCTCTTCCTCAAGAAGTCCTTTACCCTAAACATAAATGTTCACTTCCTACATAAAGCTCTCCTTGGAACAGACTCCAGAGTGCAGCCCCACATCTCTTCATATCCCCCTTTCTCCACTCTCTTTCTCTATAAAAGAAAAAAGTAAAACCAAGAAGGCCAAGAAGCAAATTGAGAGCAGTAATCGTTTAGACATAGGAAATGAATTAAATTTTGTGATGATGAGAAGATTTTGATAGCAGAGCATAGTGAAAGAAGCATCTTTTTTTTTTGGGTTGTTTTTTTTTTTACTTTTTTTTTTGGGTGTGTGTGGCTTTAATGGCTGACAACAGCTATGATTGTGTAGACTCAGACCTACCTTGCACAGAGACCATCAGGGCTCTGTGCTTTGATGATCTTGATTCTGTTGCCACAGATAGGCAAACCCATCAATCTAATGGTGGTGAAGGTTTGATCTTTGGCAATGGTGGATCAGACCCATTAATTGATTTTCCAATTTTGAGTGAAGAGAGCTTTTGCTTGATGGTGGGGAGGGAGAGCCAGCATATGCCTGCAGATGATTATCTCAGCAGATTGAGAACTGGGGAATTGGATTTGACCCTTAGAAGAGAGGCTCTTGATTGGATTTGGAAGGTGGGTTTGATTTTTCTTCTTTCTTTTCCATTCTCAAATTATATTTTTTCTGAATTTTTTCCAACTTGTTATTGTTATTATTACTGATTTTCTTTTTCAAGAGAGCACTTGATTTCCTTCCATTTCAAGCACCATTGAACTCTTGGTTTTGGCATTCATTTTGAGGGATTTCCAGAAAATGGGAATTCTTTAAACAGATTGATGTCTTTTTTGCTAGCTGAACAGTTCATGTTTTATCTTTTTGATGCTTATTCTACTTGGTGAAACATGTTGATGGTTTGATGATTGAATCTCTGATTTAGTTTAGGTGACATTTTGATTGATAAAGTTCATAGCTTTTATTAATTCTTACCCTAAAGGAGATTCAAGAGACTTCTTTTGAGTGTTTAATGCTCCATAATTGTCAATTCTATGCAGGCTCATTCCCATTTTGGCTTTGGAGAGTTTAGTTTTTGCCTATCAATGAATTACTTGGATCGTTTTCTCTCAATGTATGAACTGCCAGTAAGTATTTATCTGTTCTGATAGTCAGGTAGTTTGTGTTTAAGGCCTTGAAATGGTGATTTTCTTGACTGATTTATGGCTCGAATTCTTCGTTTCTTGGGATTCATAGAGAAGTAAAACTTGGGCAGTGCAATTGTTAGCTGTGGCGTGTTTATCGCTAGCAGCTAAACTGGAGGAGATCAGTGTGCCTTTGAGTGTGGATTTACAGGTGAAGATTGTCTGTTTTTAATCAGTTTAATGTATTATGCTTATTCGACGAATCGGGTTGGATAATGGTTCGTTTTTGATCGATTGGAACAGGTGGGTGATCCCAAGTTTCTGTTTGATGGTAAAACCATACAGAAAATGGAACTTCTCGTGTTGAGCAGGCTCAAGTGGAGAATGCTGGCATATACGCCTTGTTCGTTCATAGACTATTTCCTGAGGAAGATCAATGGCGATCAGTTACCCTCACTGCACGTGATTTCCAGATCAATGCGTCTTATTTTGAGCACGATAAAAGGTCGGTGGTGCCCTCTCTTTTCGTTCTCCATGATCTTTTCGGGTTCCAAACTCTTTGAATTGTTATTTGATTGCTTGAACGGGATTGCAGGAATCGACTTCTTGGAATTCAGGCCTTCCGAGGTAGCTGCAGCCGTGGCCATATTCGTTTCGGGGAAAACGCAAGCAATAGACGTTATCAAGGCAATGCCTTCCTTCACCCAAGAAACACAAAAGGTATCTTGAAATACCTTTTCAAGATAATGTTATTTGGGATATAATAATGATGTTATTTCTCAGTTTTTTCGGGATATAATGATGCAATTAAACCTCAACTTCTGCTAAAACTGTTTGGAATATTTTTTTTTAAAAAAAAAACAAATCTTGATAGCCATCTGCTGTTTGTAATACACCTTTTGCTCATAAAAACCGAATCTTTATAGCCATCTGCAACTAGAAATGGACTTTGGGACATAATGATGCAATTAAACCTCTACTTTTGCTAAAACTGTTTGGAATATCAAAAAAATAGAATCTTTATAGCCATCTGCAACTAGAAATGGACTTTGGGACATAATGATGCAATTAAACCTCAACTTTTGCTAAAACTGTTTGGAATATCATAAAAATCGAATCTTTATAGCCATCTGCTGTTTGTAATACACCTTTTGCTAAAAAAACGAATCTTTATTGTCATCTGCTGTTTGTAATACACCTTTTGCTCAATAAAAACCGAATCTTTATAGCCATCTGCAACTAGAAATGGACGGTCCTGCCTAGAATCATTACATATCATCTGATCAAAAACCAAATCTTGATCATCCACCATTATCAAGCAATCTAAACAACTGAGAATGGATTTGTGGATTTGCAGGAGAGGCTGGCGAAATGCGTGGAGCTGATTCAAAACCTGAAACTGAAGGGAAACGCGGGGGAAGGTAGTGGCAGCTCCATACCCCAAAGCCCAAACGGCGTCTTGGAAGCAGCGTGTTTGAGCGACGAGCAGACAGCCGGGTCATGCCCGAGCTCATCGACCTCCACCCCGGACACCAAGAAAAGAAGACTGGAAACGCAACACAACAAATGATTAGTAGCGACGAAAACTCCACAACCACCACCGAACATTCCTAGTAATACTACCAATCTTTAAAGGGGACTTTTGGAGATTATTAGGAGCATGAAATATGGTTTTTGTCTGTTTAGTCATATAATGTTTTTTTTTTCCTTGGCAGCTGCAAAATCACACCTTATGGCCAAATAAGTTTTGGTTGAATGGGAATTTTGGTGTGGCAGTGAAAAAGACTTACAGACAAGGAAGGTCCCCAAGGAATGAGAATTGGGGGGGAGGGTAGAGATGGGTCCCATCATTACCAGCTGTTAATAATAATAATGATTATTATTATTGTTATTATTATTACTGTTATATAATAAAAAACATTGAGGTGTCAACCAACCATAGTAATACAAAAAGGTGAAATTTTGATGAGTTTTATGTTGTGGTAGAAGTATACACTTTTTTTTTTTAATGTTTATTTAATTATAAGAATAGACAGAAAATTGGAATTTGAGAAAAAAAAAAAAGATTAAAATTTTTTTTCTGCAATGAAAATTGAGTACTGTAAAATTGACTTCAAATCATAAAAGGGGTACTATTGGCAACGGAGTTTCAAAAATGGCGGGAAACTGGGTGTCAACGTTGTGGCGTATTATATCGTATACGACGTCGTTAAGCTTTGTTTTTGAAGTTTTCACGGTGATTGACAATAATGCCCTCAGTTGGAGCATGGTCCAGGCTCACAAACCCATCTTTGACCGGTAAATAGGATTTTCATTCAGTAGTTATACCATGTGGACCAGGTCCACCTTACAAGGTGGACCCGGGTTCAAAATACACAATTTACATATTAAATGTTCATAATTTATCTTTTATATTACCAATGATAACTTTAGGAACAAAATATGGGCATGATCAATACTCAGGGACGAATTCTACAATTACCTTATAATTTAGGGATGAAAAGTGAAATTTTCTCTAATATTAATACTAATACTACTAATAATAATAATGTAATTGTATTGTGTCAGTGAAGAGATTAGGAGGAAAACGACAATTACTTAGTTTCTGTCTGTGTAATAGTTCATAAATCACAAGATAAAATGTAAACCGTACTAACAATACATTGTGCAATAAACTCAACCAAGAAATGCTTGCAAAAATTGCACTCGCAATTTTTGATATACAAATTATACTTCATCTATTCCGCATTGTTTTATTCCATTATTATTAGAAGGTGACAGGAGATTAAAAAAAGGTGGTACAACGTTTGGCGTTTTGACTGTAACAGGTAAGCATGGTAGAAATGGATTATAAAATATTTGCCATTCAAACTGCTCTGATTTTGGGAGATCCCAATAAAGCTACACACCTATATAGTATATGCATGCCATATGGGAATAAAACAATTTCTTAATTTTTATCACCACATACGAGATGTCGTAATCGAACTTTATATTTTTGATAAATTTATACTTTTTATTTATATTTTCACCATATATATTATCCAACTTTATTCAACATACGACATGATTACATATGACATTGTGAAAATATCTAACGTAACATCACTACTGGAAATTATGGAATTTCCGACCACCTGAAAGTGATCTTAAATCAAGTCAAAAGTTTTGTTTCGATCATTTTTGGTATCCGAAAAAACTTTTGTTGCTATTTCCGACCACTTTTTGGTATCAACTTGATTTAATATCACTTTCAGGTGGTCGAAAATTCCATAATTTTCAGTAGTGCATAGTAAAGAAAGTATACTTAAACTCTATGTAAATGATTTTGAGTTCAATTCTTGCTAACATTTTATAAGGTCTTCTCTTCTTATGTGAGTTTGTCTCAAACACAGTAATTTATAATTTCTCCCATAAAAAAATATAAATTAGAATAATGGAATAATTTAAACCAAAAGCACTCAAATAGTTGTATGGGCATTCGGTACAAAAAATATGTACAACTGAAAAGTGGGCAAGGTAAAAAAAGTGGAATAAAAAGTAATGACTTGTCAGGCATTGTTGGTTCATGCTGACCAGTCAATTTCAAGTTTTTACCGCACAGTTGGCTATGGTGTCAGGATATGATTACTCAATTGGGAAGATCGGGAATCTTCATAGAATAACTTACAGTAAATTTAAAGGACATTTAAATATAATCAACATGAATATTATATTATAATCAACATCTAATCCATCATGATGAATAATGAACATCTAATGAATCATTATAAGTAATACTATGCTTAAGGGACAACCATAGTCGAATCGGTTGAACAATTAGCTTAATAACCAGACTAGGTTGTTCATAGTTGACCAGTTTAAACTGACAACATTATGAACAACCTAGTCTAGTTTATCTTGTGTTTATTTGCCAGCTAAACCGCATTTTTGAGTAATGCAGACTTAGGCATAGAAGGGTACATATTCCTTTAATAAGCATCAGAAAAACATAAAATTTAGCAGTGGCAGGGCAGTACATTCAGGTGTAACATAGTACAAAACTTGCATTTATTCATAAATAGAATACGGAGTACTCATACAACAATGAACCAACCAATGCATTCCCACATGTATGTTATCTTCGAAAAAATTAAGACAATTGTTCAGACCCTCTCAGTATTCACTGCTGACAGGAAAAAAAAATGGCATTCCTAGCTACCTGTTTGCTGTTATTTCTTAAACAACAGGGACAGGGACGATCCGACACGGTCAAATTTACAGTATGGGGAAACGACTTAAGGTTTCTGAACTATAAATCGAATTGCAGAGTAAATTAAATGAAATCGGGCTGGCCTGTGGACGTTAGGCAACGGTGCCACATGCGGCTGTTGGGGTCGACGCATCTTGCTTGAGAAATTACTTCTGGGATCGGGAAGTAGACATAGTGAGTGTTGCATATTCCCACCGTGATGCCGCTGTATCCAGCAAATGCCCCGTGAACCTGACAAGACCACCAAAATCATAAAACGGTGTAAAAGACAAAATATATTGAGTCGAGTCACAACACCGAATCGAGTAAGGAGGAGGTTAAAGGACTTACAGCATTTTGACCAAGAACGGTGCAGAGAATTCCATCTGATGCATTTGCACGACATGCACGGATCATGTATGTAGGATCGATGTATTTCACATCAGCCGGGACTCCAATCTCCTTGAAATACTTCTTTACCTGGCAAGAAATTATGCAGAGCATTAATACTTCTTTATCTATCAAAATTGCATTATGGAGAAGGAAATTGCATAATAACACTGCATGCCTCAAATTTGGCAACACCAATCTATTACATCAAATAATGGATATCAAAGAGAGAAAGATCGACACAGGTGCAACATCTAACCTCTTGTTGTATATGAACACCTATGTCTCCAAGCACAGCATTTCCAGATGCATCTGTGGCATTTGTTTTCTGAAGGAAACTCTGCAAAGGAAGTTGAATTAAATAGCAAATTAGTATTGCCTCAAAAAAAAAAAAAAAAAAAAAAAAGCAAATTAGTAGATCACATATGAGGTCCAACAGTCATCCTTCCTTAAGCTTGAATGGAAAGAAAAACTATAAATAAATAAATAAATTATCTGTTTCTTTTGTCAAGGGAAAAAAAAAGATATTTCAGAAACTTTGAGATTTTCCATTGGTACTTTGAGCAGAAATATTCTTTTGCTAATGTATCTTGTCCAAGATCAGCTTTACTCAGTAGAACAGTAGTTGTTGCAGATGATTTGATCTTCATCTTTGCTTGTAAGCTTGGTACTAATTTAGTAAGGTCAATTACCTAACCTACCTACTATGTACTAATGCATATCGAATATTAATGGGCTGAAGATAAATGAAATCTCTGCAGAATCCTTAGTGCAGACAACCTTCTGCATAAATTCTCTTCCCTAAAAGGTGAGGGACAAAGTTATTCTCTGAATGAGGGGATAGATTATTCCTCTCATTCTATTCTCATTATATCCCTTTGCATGCAAGACAAAGTTCCGTTTTCCATGGCCAAACCAGTGGAAATAAAATATGACAGGATAGGGACACCCCCAGAATTTTACTATGTATCTTGAACAATGAACATCACAAGATTAATGGAAAACCAAGTTATACTGTTCATCTGACACGGTATCTCATGTACCAAGGACAAAAAAGAAATAAAAGCATAGAATAGTTCACCTGCCCAGCTCCCTCTGCAACACAGAGCACAGCTGAACCCTTCGTCTCAAGAAGATACTTTAGATGTCTGAGTACACCATGAGGTCCATGCAGATTAAAAGGTACCTGGAAATTGCAATAAAAGATGTCTCACCAATGGAGCTATAGATACTATTTTCAATAGAGTATATAATAGGCATACCTCTGGAATCAAGCATATATCAATTTGGCCACTAGCTAGTGATGCGTGCATTGCTATATACCCACTGCTACGGCCCATCAATTTCACAACCCCAATACCATGATAAGCACTATGAGCCTGTCAAAAAAGAAGCAAACCCCAACTCAAAATATTGTGGGAAAGAGTTACAATGTACAGCTTTAATCAAAAGGCCCAAATGGTTGTTAAAGACAAAGAAAGCACACTTCAAAACCATAAGGTCAATTGGGCTTTGTTCAAGAGACAGAATTTTATTTTTTAAAAATGAATTGAGTAATTTGTGGGATAGCATAGAGACATGACTAAATTGATCTTTCAACTGTATTATGGAACTAGTGAATGTAATCATAGTTAGATGCGTAGAACTAAAGTTGTATGAAATTGTCAACAGAATGAAATCAGGAGAATCCTATCATTTAGTATGGAAACAAAGCATAGGAAAACAAGAAACAATTGAAAAGCTTGAAGGATATTCGTGGCAAGTGATACAGTCTGTTATATAAGATGGTGATGGGTCAATACCTCAATGTAAGCAGAATTAATTGCTCTCTGTGCTTCTTCCACTGCGGTATCAAAACCAAAAGTTTTATCCATGAGCAGAATATCATTGTCTATGGTTTTCGGCACACCAACCACAGCCACCTTTAGACGCCTCTTAAGACACTGAACATCAAGTAAAGGAAGGCAAACTAAACAGTTAGTAAACTCTGGTATTATCAAAGTTAAAAGAGTGGCAGCCAAGGATCACCATACTCCAAAAGATGGACATTTAAAATTCCCTGTTTATTCACGGATTAAAAATTTACAAGAACTTTATCCAAGATTGAGTTGAATTCAGTGTAGGTTAACAACCTCATCATGGATAGCATTAGCGCCAGCATGTGTGCCATTTCCACCTAGCACAAAGAGCATATTGATTCCTCTTTGCTGAAACCAAGTAGAAAAGACAAAGTTACTCAACAAAATCATATCTTACAAGGTAGAAATAACATATTTCTCATCAGAAAGTTTATTAAGCACCTCAATACTGTCCACAATGTCAGTGACTGTAGGTCCTCCACGTGAGACTCCTAACAAGCTTCCCCCAGAAAGATGAATGTTTTGAACCACTTTCCTAGATAGCTGGATATCAAGAAATTAATTCTTTGAAAAAAAAAAAAAGAAAAAAAAAACTGTTTCTTTATGTAAACATAAACCAACTCCTATTTTAGGGTCCTTATCCAACATCTAAGACAATTTCTATAAACTTGTAGTGCGTCATAAAATTAAATCTACCATACTTGAAGATATGTTTTGAAAGCAGTAAAAGTATCCGTACTCATCACTATCAACAGTAAGTTCTTGATTGGATAGCAATGCTCAGGTAAATAACATTCAGAAACAACACCGAGAAGAGAGTACTCACAGGCATTTCAGCAAGATCTTCATCAGAAAAGCCACGATATCCAAAGGGAATTCCTACAATCTTCTTCACACCGTATATCTCAAGTGTAATGACTATCTGCAGCCATCATAGTGGACATAATAATAATCAACTTAATAATCTGACTGTTATATGGCTGCATAGGAGGAAATGTCTAGCATAGATTTCTCGTCTCAGAGATGATCACAAATCATGCATCAGTTTTATCTTGCATATAAAACAATTAAATGCAAAATAATCACTCAAATAGGGATGGCAAAAGCACCTATATAGTGTTGTCACCAAGCAACGAAACAAATGGGCTAATAAAAATATAGATGAAATTCTTTTCACTTAATAACTACTGCTTTAGCTCTGGTTGTAAAGATAGATAATCAAAGAATTCAGAAAATAAAACTCATACATGAATCAATCAATTAAGAACAGTAAAGCAGAAATAGTAAATATCATACATGTCTGATGACATCATTGAGACCAGGGCAAAGCCCGCCACAAGTTACAATTGCTGCTTTCACCTCTTCAGGTTTGTAGTATATTTTCTCACGAGGACCAGCACGGTGGACCCTGAGTGAAGATATTGATCAATAAAACAAAGAATTGCATTCCCACATCAGAAATATAGAACTGGAATCTCGAAAGATACATCAACAAAAACCAATTTAAGCATCGACCAATTTTGTTACAGCACTTTTCTTCCCAACACTGACAAGTTAACTAATTTTGAGCTAAACAGAAGCAGAAAGTTTTGAACATTTTTTCTTAAATTGTGCCAGCACCCATTTCCTTATCTATCTTCAACATGACATCAATGCTTTCACTTTCAAGTTTCACAAGATATATATAAATATAGATGAGTTAATTGATAGCATATAATATCCCTCCACTTCAGGTCAAACCAATCTACTGCTTCAAGTCTAACAGAGCATCTAATTTTTGGTATGTCATACAATCTTAGCATGAGAGTGAAGCTTACCATTGTTCCACCCACGTACAGCTAGGATCAATGCACTCAGCACCAGCTGATGTTGGAGAGGAATAATAGATTGTCTGAGGCATTGCATAAGTTCATTAGTCAGAGGCAATTGGGAATATAATTTTGAGAGTTTAATGAGAATATGACAATAAAAATAGATTCAGTCCCAACAAATATTATTTCCAGATTACATGGAAAACAAATATTACATCATGTAACGGAATGATGAGTAGACACCATTAACTGCTATAAGGAATTGGAAATTCAATAGAAACAGAACAGAAACACACCTTAAGAAGCACTCTGTCATCATTATTGATGTATCCCTTCCACTTTTCATCCGAGGGGTACCCTTGTGCAAATTCTTCACTTACAGGCGTCCTAAAATAGAATTGTGCATGTGGAGATCCCCCATAAAAAACAAATAACTAAAAAATTAAACAACGAAATACTATGTAAAGGCCAGGAATTTACCTCATTTTGAGGCAAAAAGTGGAGGGATACGAAACGGCGTCGGGGAAGACATCGGTGATGTGAGGGATATTGAACCGAGACTCGAACTCCTTCTGGTACTTCAACTTCCAATCAGGATCACTAAAGTCAATGCTGCTTTTCGCACTCTCAGCCGCCTTTACTCGAACGGCGCTCAGTCTCCGGCTCGCCGCCGAGCTCCGCCGCAACGGAGTGGAAAACAGATGATTGTGGCGGCAGTGAGCTTTCCTGGCGGGCGGCAGCACTGTTCTCGGTCCGATCACTGAGGAAAGCGACTCCATAGGGAAAATTACAAAGCTTAGTAAACGAAAGTATGAGGAGAGAGAGATATATATATACGCAGTGACAGACGGAGAGGAAGACGACAGAGAAGAGATCGGAGAGCGACGGACAACGAGAGGAGGCCGGTGAAATAATCGTTTTCAACTCCCGATTAAATATTTATAACTATTTTTTTATTCGTGTTGTATCCAATATCAAATAACTCTCATACTCATTCAAATTCTACTCAAACTAAGACAATTATATCAATCAAATATCAACTAGGAAATTTTTTTTTTTTTTTTTTGAATGTATCAACTAGGAAATTATACTATGCATTTATTTTATTTTATTTTATTTTTGCTTTAATGGAATGCAAAAGAAAAAAAAAAAGAAAAATTAATTTGACGATCACTCCAATAGCCTAGTAGACATGTCTAATTTTTTTTTTTGAAAATCTGATAAATAAATTTTAAAAAAATGTCAAAATTATTTTTCTTTTGTCACACAATTTTCTCTTTCTTTCTCGTGTAAAACGCTCCATAAAAATCGCATTAGTCTTGCTTTAATATCTTTTGTCTATAAGAAACATTAACGACTTATGATAACTTGTAATATTAATGATTACAAAAATAATTTCGTAACATTATATATATATATATATATATATATATATATATATATATATATATATATATATATAGCAAATAATAATGAAAGAATAATTTGTCTAATAAATAAAAATTAATTAGATTTTGAGTGGAGTTGGGAGTTAGGAAGGCTTAGTTAGGTAGGATCCGGGAGTAGGTGACTTGGCATGAAAACATATTCTAATCCAAAAATGATACTATATAAAAAAAAAATAAAAATAAAAAAGCCTTGAAATAGTGTGTGTGTGTATATATAAGTATAATTTTATTTTATTTATCTCATTTTATATATCTTATTTTTATAAATAAAAAAGAGTGGTTTAAAACTGTTTTGATTCAATTTTTTTTACTAATTAAAATAGTATTGACGTATAAAATCTATATATTTTAAAATAAATAAAAATAGTTTGTTTTTTAATATAAAGAAAAATAAATAACAACACCGATTATATATTGGCTTAATAGAACCGACTAGATAATAAAAAGCAATCGCTTTGATTCTCTGAGGTGAAGTATCAAACACATACAAGCCAATAAATAGAAACGAATGATTTATAACAGTTCAATTAACATATTGATTAACTTCTCTATGAATATATTTCATCACACTCCATTTTGAGTTCGAAAAAGTATTCCTATAGCATCAACCAAATAAAGACGTTGCTATTTTACTTTATAGAAATACTACATGACATAATGAATATTCAACATAAAATATTACGGAGTAATTGTCAACAAATTGTAACTAAGAGAAAAATAAGATAAATAGAGCAAAAAAAAAGTCAATTATTGAGTTTTTGGGTTCCAAGTAGATAAAGTGAATTAAAAAAGAAAAATAGGGTAATCTCCATTTGGCAACCACCCTGATGCATACAACAGGTGTGCGAGCTTTTCTCAACTTTTCTTTTTTCAGTCTAAGAGCATCTCCAACCCATCTTACTCGAAAACACCAAATTTTTTCAGTAAATGTCACATCAGAAGGAATATTCTCAGCATATTTTCACACCAAATTTTATTCATCTCCAACCCATTTACACCAAAACATCAAAACACCAAACTTTTACACTAAAACAATTTTATTTTTCAATTATTAGTTCAAATTTAGTTAGTTTAATATAATTTAGTTCGAACTTAATTAGTTTAATATAAAATATAATTTGTAATGTAAATAATAATTTTATTTACATTAATTTTTTTATAACATTAATTATTTTAAAAAATCGAATTTAACAATATTTTTAAAAATTTAATTTATTCCACAATAATAACTTTTATTATGTTCTAGTTATGTTTGATATATTCGAAATTTTAATTAATATATATTCAATATTAGTCTTGTTTCGATCGTCTCAATGAGATCTTTAAAATGGTATAATTTTTATTTCATTATACAAACTTTAAATATAAGTATTTAACAAAATAAAAAATTACATATAAAACAAATAAAAGATATATTTGTAATTAGAAAAAGAAAGAAGGGCAAAAGAGTCCATTTTCTCCCCATTCTCCATTTGGCGTGAATGAACAGTGCCACGCCAAATATGGTGCGGCACTGTTCACTAATGCCAAAAGAAATGACGATATGGCGTTATGCAAACACACATTGAAGATCAGAATTTTGCCAAAATGACAAAATGGCGTTAGAATTTGCAGATATGAGACCCCCCTTGGAGATGCTCTAAAAAATCGTGAAAAAACTCAACTTAGTAGAAGAACCGATTTTTTTCCCTAGTTTCTCCTAAATCATATCACGCACTCTCACTCTCACACAAACAAAAAATCCACTCCATACATTTCTTTAAAAGCCCTACCATCATTATTGACTATAGCTTATACTTAATTTCCATCCATGCATTTCTTTAAAAGCCCTACCATCATTATTATTGACTATAACTTGTACTTAATTTCATTGATACAAAGCAACCGTTATCTGTTCATGTATTATGTTTCGAATACTATACTCACGTAAATAATTAACATTTACTCAGTACAATTAATATATTTTTTATACAATAAAATCTTTATTGTGTTTATTTACCAACAATTCGTCATGACAATAAAGATTTTATTGTCAGCCTTCATTGGTTAGTAGAGTTACCACGATTCACCCCTCCATAAGTATTAATGCAATGTACCACAAAATGGGTTGGAGTACTACAAGAATATGGAATCCATGACATATCATGTGAGTAAGAGAGTTGCAGCCGAAAATTGAAAAGTTGGTATCATCATATTCTTTAAGATGTCAATTTAAAGTAGGGAAACTTTTGCAATTTGTGTGAATATGGATGAGTCAATATCTAAAAAGATCAGATTGCAACATGATAATAAAGATTGAGATATTAATAGTTGGAACTGAAGATTGGCCCACCTATAATGGGCTTAAAGTTTCAACCCAATAATTTATATGCACTCAATAGATCTATTACCAACTAGATTAGGCCCAATGAAAATTATTTGAACCTATGGCCCATCAAGTGGATGCCCAATCATTATTGTGTGAATCGTGGTTCACATAGTGTGTGGATCAGGCTCAAAGACATATAAAACACATTATTCTAACTCATAAAATATATTATCTTACCCCAGAAATTCAATCGTTATATCCTACACCACGGCGCACATAGCACTGTGCGCCGCGCCTCCCAAAACGACGTCGTTTTGGGGTAGTGTTGGGAGGCGCTGTAGGAAGTTGCTGAGATTATGTGTATTTATTCACAACGTTATGTGTATTTGTTCACAACGTTATGTGTATTGGTTCATACAGTTATGTGTATTTTTTTATACAATTATGTACATTCTTTTTATACAATTATGTACATCCGAATCAGAAAATTTGTGTGTATTATGTTAAGAGTTGATGTGTATTGTGTTAAAAGTTTATGTTTATTATGTATTATGTTAGATTATGTGTATTATCTTTTAAAAAGAGTATGTATATTTTGCTATATAATTATGTACATTCATGTATAACATTATGTGTATTCTAGTATAACATTATGTACATTCTTGAACAGCGGTTTTTTTTTTTTAAAGAAAAAACTACTGCCATTCACTGGGGCGGGAAATTTCAAAAAAAAAAAAAAAATAATTAAAACGACGTCGTTTTGCATCTGGGCGCATAGTGCAACGCGCGCCGTGGTGTAGGATATAAATTGCTCCAGAAATTTCATTATTCTAACACATAAAGTACATTATACATTATTCTAACTCATAAAATACATTATCTTATCCCAAAATGTTCATTATTCTAACACTCGCGCGAAACAAAGGATTTTTTTTTTTTAACATCAAAACGACGTCGTGAATGCTCTGTGGTCCATACAACTGTGTAGACCGTAATTTGCCGTGGATGCCCTTAGTTTGTTGGATGACAAATTAGGTACTTAATATACCAAATGCACTCTATGCTCTTTTTTTTTTTTATAACTAAGGTTCTCTAACTTTGTCAAATTATATCTTGATTTTTATGAATCAACACTTGTGCAAACAAGGAGGCTAACTCAAATTCAAACCTTTAATATTGGACAGTAATCGAATCCCCACCTTGTTACTGAATGCAAATCTTATGTAAAACTTCTCATTCACTAGACTAATTCCTTGGTACTATGCAAAAAAAAAAAAAAAAAAGAATTTCATTTATTGTGACTCTAACGGAGACTTTCATTCACTAGATAAATCCTCAATTTTTATAAGAGGGGGGTTGTTCTCATTTTAACCCATCCCAATATATATACTGATCTTAGCCACCCATCAAGATTCATCAATGGTTGATGATTTTAGTAAAAAAAAAAAAATGAGATCAATTTTATAATTATTACAAATTTTCAAGTTTGTAATATTTTATAAAACAAATATCACTCTTTTTTTTCTTTTTTTTTTTTTCTATTTTGATCTTATTTATCAGCAAACCTCAATCGTTGATCTATCAAAAGGGATGGATCATATCAATCATCACATTTTACCTAGGAGTATAATCTCACCTGAATCCATATGTATATATGTGTGTGTGTGTGTGAGAACCTATATTAATATGTGAACCTGATAATCAATTTGGACCCTTTATCTAGATTAGTGGACGGTGCATGCCATCTATAACACAATGCACACACGTTGTGCACCTTGCTCTGTGTTGACTTTTTTCGTGCACCATGTTCTCATTCGTTGGATGATGCAACATCAAGTGTGTGTACATCAAATGTGTGTACAGGTTCTCAGGTTCACACAATTAGATAGGAATATACATTCAGTTAACCGAACCGTTTCAACCAAAATTGTTAAAATTTTAATCGCTAATCAAACTGAACGTTGTATTACCGAATTAATCGAACTGAAGTTTTGTTCGATTAACCGATTGCCGATTAACAAAAGTTTTTCAAACTAAATTTTTAAATCCTTAGTCCATAGGGATTTCATTATTTTGAAAATAGAAATAAGGAGTAACATTTTTTAAAATTCCTATACTAGTATGATGTGGAGACGGGTATGCCCCACCCGGTTGACCTCCCTGAATTCTTCAGATGC